TTGGTGAAATTAGAGCAATATTTGAATTTTTGGCAAATAGGTAGGGTAAAATTTCCCTTATCTGATGGTAGTGTAAGCATGCGTAGACGAGCTACTAGTTACGCCAAATTGATGATCAAATGCATTGTTTACAAAAGCTGGTACGTCCCTTCGAAAAAGTAATCGAGATTTGTTATTTTTTTAGGATTTTAGTCAGATTGTAGAGCATATGGTCGCGGTTGTTCGGCGAATTGTAAAGGAGAAAACATGTTTTGAAACGCAACAGAGTTTGGTTCAGATTGCTTAAAGGTTGTGCAGTATTTGTTCCGAAATGCTCGATCCTGATCTAAAATTTTGTGATAATCGTCGCCGGTACGTAGGCAATCAATAAATTCAATATCACTTTTCTCTAAATCGGAAAGATCTTTCCCTATGTTTGAAGTTGTTTATGAAAACTTTTATTATAAGCTTCCAAATGATGTATAATGTGAATATACTCCATCATTTAAAGTATAAAATATTGCCCCACAATATGAAAGATGCAACATCTTATTGAAACCATTCGGCTCGCTTGAATTTCACAATGGTTTTTTTGAAAATTGTTGAAAACTTTATTGATCCTGTACAATTTCAAGAGCTTGACTAGAAATAGTTTGGAGAGCATGTGGTCAAAAGGTTCCCGTGAACTTCCCGGGCTTTTTAGGGCAGTGTTCAAGACTTCATTTTGCCTGTAATCTTCAAAATCTGAACTCCAGAATATTTTGGAGAGCATTAAATATCTTATTGAAACCATTTGATAATGTGCCTGTTGACAGAAGGATCTCTTGAACTTCACGAATCCTTAAAGACTCTCAGGACATTGTTTAACACTCCGAATACGGTGGGTAAAAAACTTTACGCCGACTACGAAGCCTCCGAAAAACGTGTAACGGCAAGTTTGCAATGGCATAACTTAGCCATTTCTTAATGAATTTCAAAAATTATGGTACTTTTAGAATTCCTAGGGTTTGTAGATGATTTTGATTGTAAAAAAAATTGAAAATAGAGTCGTCTACTTTTTTAAAAAGCGAAAAGAGTTGTTACACGTTTTTTTGAAAGGTGTGTTTGTAGGGTTTTGCAAGTGGCGCAAGATCTGTAATTTAGATGAATGGGCACAAATGTTCACAATTAGCCAGAATAGAGTCATGGTTCCTATAAATGGATCCTGGAAACAACGAAATGGTCGTCGAAAAATCCGGAACATCCGTAAAAGTGGTCAGTCCATGTACCTGATCCTAGAGCTCTGCGTTTTTTTGAAAACAGGAACTGTGATATAACGGTCCCATGGCCTTCTAGGTACATGTTTATGTCATGACCGCAAATTAATTTATATATGACAGTTCCAAGTGTCATTCTAATATCACAGTTCCTAACGTTTTCACGAAAACCACGGAGCTCTAGGATCAGTTTCGTGAATTTTCCACTTTCACGGATGTTCCGGATCTTCCAGAGGACGGTCTCATGGCCATCAAGGTCCATGTTTATGTCACGACCCCAAATTCATTCTATCATCTCAGTTCTTAGTGTTTTTCAAAAACTGCGGAACTCTAGGATCAGTTTCATGGATTGACCACTTTTACGGATGTTCCGGATCTTCCGGAGGATGGTCCGATGGACATCCAGGTTCATGTTTATGGCACAACCCCAAATTCTTTCTATCATCACAGTAACTAATGTTTATAAAAAAAAACGAGGAGCTCTAGGATCAGGATCGTGGATTTACAACTTTTACGGATGTTCCGGATCTTCCGCTGGCCATCTGGGTCCATGGCCAAATTCATCGTTATATCACAGATCCTAATGTTAAAAAGAAACGCGGAGCTCTAGGATCAGTTTCATGGATTGACCACTTTTACGGATGTTCCGGATCTTCCGAAGGACGGTCCTATGGACATCCAGGTTCATGTTTATGTCACAACCCCAAAAAAATGCGGAGCTCTAGGATCAGGATCGTGGATTTACCACTTTTACGGATGTTCCGGATCTTCCAATGGCCATCTGGGTCCATGACCCAAATTCATTCTTATATCACAGATCCTAATGTTAAACAAATGCGGGGCTCTAGGATCAGTTTCATGGATTGTCCACTTTTACGGATGTTCCGGATCTTCCGAAGGACGGTCCCATGGCCATCCAGGAACATGTTTATGTCACAACTCTAAATATTTTTTTTATATCACAGTTTCTAATGTTTTTAAAAAAACCGCAGAGCTCTAGGATCAGGTTCATGGATTGACCACTTTTACGGATGTTCCGGATCTTTCGAGGAGCGTTCCGTTGTCTCCAGGGTCCATTTACAGGAACCATGACTGTATTCTGGCTAATTGTGAACATTTGTGCCCATTCATCTAAATTACAGATCTTGCGTCACTTGCAAAACCCTACAAACACACCTTTCAAAAAAACGTGTAACAACTTTTTCGCTTTTAAAAAAAGTAGACGACTCTATTTTAAATCTTTTTACAATCAAAATCATCTACAAACCCTAGGAATTCTAAAGGTACCATAATTTTTGAAATGTATTAAGAAATAGCTAAGTTATGCCATTGCAAACTTGCCGTTACACGTTTTTCGGAGGCATCGTATTCGGAGTGTTAAAACTTCCTGTTGATCTTCAAGATTTTAACTCCAGAATACTTTGGAGAGCGTTAAATATGTGCGGAGTCACTTTAAATGGTTGTCAAAAAATCCAACGATCAGGACCAAGACCAAGGCAGATTCGTTCGAAAGATAAAGAATAAGGATCAACACTTATCATTAAATAATATGTCATAAAGTGTCGATTAAATTTTCGAAGGGACGTATCAGCTTTTGTAAACAACCAACCAAATCAACGATCAAATGCATTGTTTACAAAAGCTGATACGTTCCTTCGAAAAAGTTATCGAGAAGTGTATCTTTGATGGCTGTCCAAATATATTCATACTAATGAAAATGTACAATTAATTCATTGCCAAAATCACTAATGATTATAGACAACAAAGAAAACTTGAACATTAAAATAACGGGTTTGAGGGAAAGCAGCAAAAGCATATTCGACCGTTTGACTTGATCAGGTTTTTACTTAATAACAATTTTAAATCTTGTTTAGAACTTTACAAAATATTGGCTCATTCAAGCAATTGTAATCAAATAATGAGAAAGTCACGAACGAGTTCTCATTTTTGCTCTGAAAAAAAATGCACCATTTTGTGAGCGGTATTGAGAGTAAAAGGCAAGAAAATTAACATCTTTCAAGCAAAATAACTTGAAAATTGAAAGTACCTGAGTACTGCGAACTCAGCGGATTTTATTTTTCAAGTGAGCTAGAAAACATCTTGAAAATCTTCCGCAGTTTGAAATTGTTTTGCTGAAACAGCTCACGAAATTGTATATACATGCTGTCAAATGAACTCTTGGCTCCTCCTCCTCTGCTCCAGATATAACGTATACATGGTGATGGGAGTGCACCTGCCCACAAAGCTCACATGACTCTTATAAAGTATAATTCATTCTTGTTTCAGCAATTCAGTTTTGTCATTATTAAAATCAAATAAAAACACTTTTTCGAGCATCACGCTCGATGATTTACATTATCCGCCTACTAAGGTTGATGTTTCGACAGTTTCATAATTATAATTCTTAATTTGTTTTCAGTAGGTGGCAACACCTTTACTTGTGGTTCAAACAGTAACTACCTACATGACTTCTGAGCTCTTTTGAATGTTTGGCTCCCGTTTGACAGTTTGACTCGGCTCCCAGATGACAAGCATTTTGAGTTAGTTCGCAGTACTCAGCTCCGCACCACTCAGATTAAAACATGTTGTGGATGTTGACAGAAGACCCACTTGAACTTCACAAACTCGAAAAGACATTGTTTGAGACTTCATTATGCTTGTAAAACTGCTTGAAACTATAATAGTTTGCAACAATTACAGTGATGGACAAAACAATAAGACCACCTGTGAGTTAAACATGAAAACCTTTTTATAACCGTCAATTAAATAAACACCAAAGCGAAACAACTTGATACTAGCCAAAGGTTTTACAGCATAACGTTCTCCAAAATGTCTGCGTAAAGATTATTGTATGTTATAATAAAGATATTGATCAATTATTATCTTAATCCAAAAGATAGGATCAACCCCTGACCAACCCTGGCTGGACATCTGACCTATCTTTTTCCATCTGATTCGACCAAATTGATCTTGGATTCGTTCAAACCATAGAATGCTTCTTTTGCAATTATTTTTTTTTGTAAGATTCGATGCAAGATCTCCAGTGCTACCAACAATCAATACGAAACTAACGATTTTAAATTGGCTCACTACTTGACTAGCCTATTGGTCCCACGCAAACGATTAACGTACCCCATTCTAGTCGAAATTCTAGTACTACACTATGTTTGTTTTGATTCGCTATGAAAGTTTGACAGATAAAATGAGGGGTTAGTGGATTTTCCTATGTTTCGAGGGGTGAATCGATTAGCTTGGGACCGAAGATAGTACAAGAGCTGAGCCAAAAAGTTGAGCATGTTTCTTCGGGACCTTCTAGTCTTAGAGTTACCTCTATGGTACTACCATTTCGAATAATTCAATTCCAAAAAGTATTCTCTATAGGTTTGCTTTATAGTCGCTTTATGCGTTCGGGTAATCGAAAGTATATTGTTTGTCACTGAACTCGTTAATTCTTATATGGACGGACATACCATTCTGCTAGTTGATCATTAGTATTCAAGCCTGGTAGGTATGAACTATTTTGCCATTGCGTTTGATATATCTAAACAAAACCTTTAAGATCTGCCACCCTGGCCGTGCAATTACTCTTTTCCAAATATGTATCGTTTTCATGATTTCAATTTTTTTTCCGTCAGGCGTGACTGGAATATTCACTAACCCTGTCTTGAGGCTTATTTTTTACGAAGAAATCGAAACCAACCATGTTGCCATTATTGACACCCGTCCAGATTATAATTCCTATCCATTATTTGTTTTTTCTTCAAGGTCGCTCCGTGGACAACACCCAACAGTGCCTCGATACGCCCTCGCGGTTGTGCAAAACCCGCTACAACACCACCGCCCCGATGTACGGCGTGAGTCTCACTTCCGGCCAGCCCGTGACGATCGTGCAAAAATTCCCCGATCTCCTGCAGCAGGTCGTCTTCGAAGTGTGCGAGTAAGTATATAGGTATGGTAGGTATGCCTTCCTCAGCTCATGAATAATTAACGAATTCGCAAAAAGTTGTTTATCTACTGCTTCATGTAAGTGCAAATGGCATGAACTCTTATCTCTTTTCACTCACTGCATCGGTAAAGATCATCTACGGGCGATTATTGACTCATCATCAATGCAAAAGTTTCTCTCCGAAGCTACTTGTTTATGAGGATGGTTGTTTCACTTTCGTTTGGTGGAGGAAGAGTGCTACGGTCATTAATTTTACTGCCACTGACCAATTGAATTCAGTATCGGCAGTTTTTACCGGCTGGTTACCTCTACAATCGTTGTGATTTTTTTTTCTACTTTTTGCGGTACTTTTTCTTTGTCCGTGCATATGAAGAAAATTCATATAAAGTTAATAATATAATAATAACAAAAATGACCACCGGCAATCCGGTCAACATCTAGCGGTATGGATTACACGCAGTTGCAATTGAAGCTGTGGACGTCTGCAGATGGCACTCCAACGGAAACGCCCGATTGATCATCAATTTTTTCGGTTTTGAAGCCACGAGTTCGACACTGCGAAAATCAATTGAATATGCCGGTTCAAGTAGATGACTGTGAACTGGAACTTCCTGTAGCATTCGTAACAGTATTACATCTCCGAATAGTGATGATGATGTCTGGAGGAATTGGCGCTAATACTTGAGTTCACGCAAGCCGCAAAGCGTACCCGATTTGATTTATCCATACCGATGTAAACGGTAAGGCGCCCAATTTAATCGGTTATGTGGTAACAATTACACTTTCTAGATTACAAGATAACATACGCTTAGTTAATGGGTAATTCATTACGAGAGCGGATGAAGAGAAACCCACCTGTCCGATGAAAAAAACAAGGTAGACCAAATCAGTATCAGTAAAGGTCCGTTTAGACTATCTGATTTCTTGGTCTGATTTTGACCGCCGCCATAATGAAAAATCTGCTCGAATTTACTTTCGACACACTTTGCTGGTGTTCACACTGCTTTCACATGTCGAAAGAGAACTGTCGATTCAGATTTTAAAACAAAACTGTATCAGGAATCAAAAGTAAATGCTTTCATAATTAATTGACCACTTTGTCACGCCAAAACTGACTTTCTACCAGCAATTTCATAAAACTTGATCAACTACTTTCTATTTTTTTATGAAACGCTCAAATGTTGGCTACTTTTCTCGTGGTTCTAGAAGAAAAAATCTCAAAATAATGTTTTATTTCAAAGTTCGAGTGGTAGTAAACGTCATAATAACTGCTCGAATCAAGTGGTTAATTATCGGAAAATTACTCTAGCTTCGGCAGGCGTATTTGCTTTTATTATTTTAAATAAAATGAGAAGAAGACGGCGAACTTTGTGCAGTAGGAAATGATTGCTCACGAGGAACACCAACCCGGATCTGGCTCATCTTGTCCTTCAAGAGCTGCGATATGAAGATGAAAATGGATTTCAAAACTTCACCAGGATGTAGATACCAACTTTCGACAAGCTAGTGGGAAAGTTCTCTATAGATTTACATGATTCCTTTGGACTTTGGACGTCCCTAAAGTTTTGTTGCTTTTCTCCGGTGAAATATCTTTCAAGATCAACTAGCTTTTCTGAATATCTGAAAATTTTTCGATAGTTCTACAGATTTCATTGAAATTATGTGTGGTCTTCAGAAGATCTGCAAATTTTCCTAAAAATCTACAAAGTTCTTGAATCCCTGAAGATTTAAGATCCTTAAAGATCAACAATTATCTCTGATGTTTACAAAATTTCTAATAATCTACAAACTTCTCGAAAGTTCTGTAATTTTCTCTGTAGATTTTCAGGATTCAATTAATATCTGCAAATATCTCTGCACATCTACACGATTTCCTAAAGAATTAAAAGATTATCTAGACATGTTTGAGATTTTGGCAGGTTTCATATTTGATCGAAGAGGCCGGTTCGTGGTCAGGAGGGTCTTCCCATCTTCGTGTGTCAGCCTTCACTTTTCTAAGGAAAATGCTTGTTGATTGGGACCATGTATATGACCATAAGTCCAAGATTTTCTTAGCAACCCATTTTTTCAGGTCCCCCCATGGAACCGCCTTGGGAAAACAGTTGGGCTTGTCTTCCAGAAGGGTATTACCACGAATGCCGCAGTGACCCGGAATCCATACAAATGTAGTGTTTCTGGGGGCATACCGCTGAATGGCTTGGATCCATGAGTTCTTGATAGAGTCTGAGTTGAGGGCTACACTTGCGGAGTCCGTAAATACGGCAATCGGCTTGTTTGAGGTAGTGGTAGCAGCAATAAAAGCAGAGACCGCTTCTGCCGAGAATATAGTGTACTGGTCTGGAAATCAATGAAGTACGGACATTTGGGGGCCCGTGATGCCGATGCCAACCCTTTCACGGGAAACCGATCCATCGGAGTAACGGATAGTGTGGTTGCAGTATCTGGTTCTCTGGAGTTCCGCGACGGATCTCACAAGTGCTGTAGAGTTGGATCCTGCCTTGAACTTCTTCTTTATCGCCAAGTCGATAATGGGCCCGGGCAGGTTCCAATCTCTGGCTCTACACCAATGTATGTGCAACGGTAAGGGATCGTCCATTAATTATGTCACACTTTTACGGGGGAGGGGGACGAGTTATACAAAAAAAAAAGGTCCATTAAAAAAATGTGACAAAGGGGGAGGGGGATTCAAAATGGACCTTCCCTAACTTGTTTTTTATGGATTCCTAAAACACTATTGTCTGCAACAAAGTTGTTCAGACACATTGTGAACGTGGAGCATTGTAAGCCCTTAACTCTACATAAAGCCACAAACGTTAATCAAACGACTTCCGATGGATCAGTGTTGAATTTCCTCACGTATCGACTTTCACATGCAAATAAAAACCAAACACAACTCCGCGCCACCGGTCATAAAAGTTATTTAGATAAAAGCAAAACATGAACTCACCCGAAGAAGTTCATCTCCTGCCGCACCCGAGCGGCGTTGAAGCCTTTTAATTTGCGGCACTTGTTTGTACCAGCTCATCACCACAAACAGTGTTGCAGCCTAATACAGCCAGAGGGGGAAAAAAAGCTAACATATGTTTGTCTGGCGCGGATTGATAATAAACCGCTCCTTTCCCTCTCGCACATGTTAGCAGCCTAATCATCATATAAAATAATTGCACCGACAAACCGACCCGTCAAGATCTCACGCTTGTTTCATGTGTGCTAATCTGTTTCTTCATCTCTTTTCTAGATCATCCGAGTGCGACGTGGTCCGGGGTGAATGTACCCAAACGTACGTCCCCTATCTGTTTCTGGTGATTCCGCTGGGACCGGTGACGCTAACCGGTCAGGATTATGTCCTAGTCGAGAGTGGATGTGTGTGCAAGCCAAAGTATGCAACGGAGAAACCCCGCGAATCCGGAGGAAACTTCATACCCTAGATATCGATCGACGCTGTTGAAGAAGATGTGCGATTAGAACGTTAGAGGGGGCAGTTGAACCACGAGTGTGAATTGAAGTGATGTTTTCTTTAACGATGCGGTTTCCTTGAAACCATTGCAGTTCGATGAGCGAGAGCAGGTGATTACAAAATGGATAATAAACCCAGACAGGCAAAACGGTTCGATCGTTTTTATGATCTTGAGCCGATAGCTAGTTCAAATATGAAAAAAAAATAAAGATTGCAGAAAATTAAAACACTAGGAAGAATAATACAAACTGACAACGAAGAGCCTAGCTTTAAGTTTATTTAATTTACTGGTGAGATAAAGTGCTGTTAGTTAGGGTCCAGCTTCCATCCCGGATAAATTAATTATTTCAGCTTTTTGTAAATATGTTTCCTACTTTTTTTCTATCAGGATATATCTAATAAGTAAAAGATAATATTTGCATTTCAACTCTTGGACGGTATGCGATCTGATCGAAATGACTCAAATTTCCGTCTTTTCACATTCTACTACGAGTGTCTACCGGCTTTGTCCTACTGTTTTCACTATCTATTTATGCATTTTGTATGTGCAAGAATGGAACTCAATAAATTATTTATTTTTAATTATACGAAATGGTAGCTGAGTTTTGTTTTAATATCACATTCTCCATTTTGTTGATTGAATCCTTCGTTTGAGGAGCCAGATCACGCAGTTTGGCAATGTCCGGATAATGACGCCGCCAGAGAGCGACTTTTGTATACCCTAGAGGTCCAAGGAAGACAATCCTATAACCCTATCAGAGACGTGTTGGGAACCCGCCATCTCTGCTATATGCAGTCAATTTATGTCTTTCTGCAAATGTCTAGTTTAAGAATTTAATTCCTTTGTCTTTTGTCTCTCTTTATTAGTTTTTGTTTCTCTTGTCCCCCCGTCTCGATGAGTCTCATCGTCACCCACCATAGTCGGTCGAAGTCGAACTAACAATCAATACGAAACTAACGATTTTAAATTTGCTAACTAGTTGACTAGACAGAGAAATAAGTGAATTTTGTTAAAAATAACAGGCCAGTGACAAGGCCTATATCAACAGCAACGTTTGACAGTAGGCAGCATGTCCCGGGCTCAAATTGTTTATTTTGCTGTACTGGGTTTCGCTGTCACGGTATAAGATGTTGCCTACGCGCCTGCCACTGGGCTGAAAAATAATGAACAATACATTATCGGCTTCGTAAAGTTAACGCGATTGAGCATTACAAATAATCGATTCAGATAAAAAAAAACTGGTCTTATCGTTACGCCAACTAACTCGGTGCGTGTCTACAGTTTCTTGAGCGTCCCACACTTTTTATGTCGTTTTCGTTTTTACTACACTACACCGGTGTAGTGTAAGCAGCAATAAGCACGAGCCATTGACAGCTCATCATCATTTGTTTGTAAACAAAGGTTCAACCGATAGCTACACCCTGAAATTTTTCGGTGTTCGGCGGTGTAGCACCGGTGTAGCTACACCGCAAAAACGAAAACGACATTAGATATTGCCCCACCTCTAATAGCGAATTCGTTTATTATCGGGGTTGGAACCAGTTCCAACCCAGTGCGAAACCGAACTTTTAGTCAGTGCGAACCTCAACCTGAGCTGGGTTTTAAAAACAAACGAGCAAACTGACGTTTGTCAGAAAACAAGCAGACCCAATCTTGATACCCGATCCAGGTTGGAACTGAATAATAAACGAATTCGCTATAAGTAAAAGTATGGCCGTCTGTCAAACGTTGTTCCAATCGAACCGTCAAAATGCACTGCTTTGCTCGATTGGAAAAACATTTTTTTCAGTTTTGTGGTGACAGTCGTCTATACTTTTACTATAGATAGCTGTACCATTACTCATGCTTGGCATGCACAGTTTTGGTCACGAACTGCTCATTTCCTAAAAACTTTGCACACAGTTGACGGAACATAGTTCTTTTTGAAGCAGTAGATAGAATAGAGTGTAAGCTTATTATAGATATGCAAAAAAAAACTAGATTTTAATGCTAGTAGTAAACTGTATTTGTTTTTGCGTTGCAAAAATGAGGTGAGAAATGCTCACTACACATCTCGGAATTAAATCGTTAAATTGATTAGTGTTGATTCAAATATTAAGCTTTACCTAATCTTCGCATATCTATAGTAAACTATGAGCCTACCCTAATAAAAATGGTATGGTTTATTTGCTTAACGACGTGTTCGGGGTATCATCCAAACCATTTGTGGAATTGTTCAATGATTTGGGTTATCGTTCGTTTGTGGTAATTTTTTATTAGGGTAATCTATCAATTACTTTAAAGAAAAATAAATTTCAACATCTAAGTGAAAAATTATTACTAAATGAGCAGTTGGTGTGTACAACTGTGCATGCCAAGCATGCCATTACTTCGGTGGCACAAAAGTCATCCAAGAACACTTTGCTTTAAGCCGATTTTTTTGGCTCTTTGCTAAGGCTGTGAACCATTTGCCGGGTTAAATTTAACTCGTGGTTAAAAGTGACATTTCGAAAGTTATTTTCTATGTTCGAAAATCGCTGTGCTGTCGATCGACCGGTTTTCGAGAAGAACTTAGCCAAGGTTGTCAAAATTTAACTTCTTGTCTGTCAGAAGTAACCACGCTCGGATAGCAGGGTTAATCGATAACTTTCCATCTGTCAAATTTTAACCAAAAGTTAAAATAATCCACCAAATGGTTCAGAGTCTAAGGCTGTGTTCCATTTGGCGAATTTTCACTTAAATTTGACACTTCGAAAATAAATTAAGATGTTCGAAAATCCCTCTGTTGTTGATCTTCCTATTTTCGAGAAGGTGTTTGTCAAAATTGATTCCTGGTCTGTCAGAAATAAGTCTGGTACAATAGCAGGTTTATTTGAAAATTTTCCATCTGGCAAATTTAAGTGAAAATTCACCAAATGGAACTCAGCCTAAGAGAAGAGGTTACAATCTGTTACAATACGGGGGCGAAAATGAACCACTTTTCTGTCAAACGTGAACCAGCTCCTGATTGGCCGATTTCATGTGCGTAAGATAGAGATAGATAAATATAGAGATAGAGATAGAAATAAAAGAGGAAGAAGCCAATTGTCACCTCTTCCTCTTAGCAACAATCAATACGAAACAAACGATTTTAAATTGGCTCACTACTTGACTAGCCTATTGGTCCCAAGCAAACTGTTGTGAATGCGATAAATTAGCAATAATTGAAGAACGTTCTCGAGTCACCCAAGACGATGCAAAGAAGTAAATGTTCAAAGTCAAATATAAACAGCTGTTCTGTTTCATCATCCCTTCGCTTAGTCAGGTTCAATGAACACGAGAGCAACGAAAATGACACAATATTATAGGTCAATTCTATGTAATAAGAGAACGCATATGCGGTACACTCTCGTTTGCTCAGTAGGATGTACCCAACGGGTGCATGCAGCATAAAACAGGCAATAAACTCAGCATAGGGAAATTATACGCTTTCACCAGTTTAGCTTTGGTATAGGCGCTGCGTAGGAGTCAAGTGCATCCTAGACGTATGCATACATGTGAGATTATTCTGGAAGGATTGCGTTGGTCCCAAAATGCATCACATGATCTTGAAGGAGAACGATGGATAAGTTTAGATCAGGAATACTTTTTGTCTCTTTCATTCTTATCAACATTACGTTAGGAAGATCTTAGCAGGAGACAAATCTTTCTATGTATGTGTATGTAAAGGATACCACTCATTGTTGCAAGGCACAGCCATTAGACAGTGGATCATCCTCCAAGTATGACTTGATCAAGTACGATACCTGGTTGTATTCAATTTACCATTGTAAGAAGGGCCAAAAACGGAGAGGCGGACCCGTAAGCAGATACACTTACGCGCAATCCGCGGGATCAGGAGAATCGCCTTCCAATGATAAAATCCTACAACCCGATGTAGAACAAGCCATCATACGAGGGAACGTCCCAATGAGTGGGGAGAAGAGCCCGCCGTCAATTCACGAAATGTTAATGACAGGGAGTTGGCAATTCCACTCTCCCCATCCAAATCGCTTCAATCCGGTGCCCTGGTGGTTCCATCCCTCCCCTTTGCATTTAATGTGTGTATATATATATATATTAATATCGGCATTACCCGTTAGATTTTGTCAACACAATTTTGCCTTCTTAGCTTTTCAAAATCTTCAATAAATGCAAATCTTATCATCTGACCTATTCCGCGAGTCGTGCGAATCTCCACCACCAATGAGTCAACAAAAGTCACGCACTAGTGGGGTGACTCTCCGTGCAATCAAATGAAGAGTCACCTCACACGAGGCGACCACCGTCACCCTACTAGCGACAGAGAGCCATACTACTCGCAGAACAGGCCTGCAGGTGACGTTTAAAGCTCCACAATTTTACTGAAAATCTAAGAAAATTATTAAACATAATTTAATAATATAACTGCAGAGCACAAGCAGTTTAAATATACTGAAAACGTGTTGCCAAAATCGAACGGATACTTTATATGTTTATTAATTTATCTTACCTTGATGGACCAACTACTTACCTGTCCTTAATGGCCATAAGCTCCAATCGGTATTTCCCGGTAAATCCGATCACGATCATTTACAACATTTGGCCGACACCAACGCGCATCATCGCAACCACTCAGCACTTTCTTCCTCTTCACTAAATTGAAGGGCTTCTAGGGAAACTATTTTCTTGCGGACCGCGTTGCGGTCGGACTTCACTGTTCTTCTCCTTCTTTTTATCGTTTAACCCCTACTACGAGAAGATGAAACACCTATGTGGCACTCACTCTCCTACTATCGGTTGTCGCTGCATTAAAACCGCTGCCGCTCTCTTTCACCGTTTTCTTTTTGCTTCTCTTTCTACTCTCTTCGTCTCACAGAATTTCACCACCGCTTTACTCTGTATTCCTTTAGGGTGCTCACTCACACACTACTGTTTGCCGCTATATTTTTGGCTTTTTATTTTCCCCGCACTATCAGCTTCTTCTTTTTTCCCCTTTCCTGCCTTCTCGCACTCGAAATTATCGCTACCGTTCGGCGTGGAATCCACAATTTCCACTCTTAAGCGCAACTACCCTTGCGCTCCTCTCGCACACATATGCACACTGGGCCTCCCCGCATAGACCCTTCGCCCCTTCAGCAGCAATCCTGCCAAAAGCAGTCTCAATCACGCTTTTTCTTTCTTCTTCTATCACCGCCACCGATTGAAACCGTCACGCATGTTATAGCGCATCACCTGCGGATGTTAACCGCCACCTTATCTTCGTATCACTCCACCAATCCGCCTCCTAATCCGTATTACCGGACCAGCCTTCCGTCGAACACTGTCCTCGAACCAGCAACAGCCTGAACGCACCAGCAAACAGCACACACGTCCGACTCAGTCGGTAGTCACTCACGTATGATGCAGGAGACAAATCTTTCTAGGCTTAAACCCCTATATAAGGCAAATTTTCAACTTAATCCCGAATAGAAATTTACATTAGCCCAACGTTTGATTTTGATGTCTACATCAGCATCGAAATCAAATGTATGCCTGATGTCAAACATTAGGAAACATTATGATTTAGTTGTATTTAAGCAACGTAACATGGTGTATACATCAGAAATTTTGGA